GCCACAGGGATGATATTAGTGGTCTTAATACACTGCTTTTATGGTCAGCAGCAGCAATGAAGATAATGGACTGATTTAATTGACAAGTCATTAATTGCAATTTCACAGTAGCCCTCAGATCTTTTTTCAAATCTAATCTCACATGCCAGCCTTAGTGTTGGCAGTTCAGCAGATTTGATTTCTTATAGTACAGGGAACATCATACATAGGACACATTGTCCACATTTTGTCTTGAAAACAGTTAAATTGCCTTTCATTCCTATTCTCTACCCCAGTCTGTATACTCAAAGCCAAATTTAAAACAAACTGACAGAGGTTTGATGGTTCCATATTGTGCCTTCGATCTTGAACTCTTTTGCATGTTTTTATGCATGGTGAAGGACGGTGCGAAATATGTCACAATTGAAATACTTCATCTCATGTTGAGAATGCAAGATGAGACCAGCAGTGGAGATGGAAACAGACCAGTTATGACAAAGAAGCACCTTCTCCAGAGCTACAAAGTAAATGACTGTTAAATTCTCTCAGCACATGTTTACAACTGAATAATAATAAAAAAAATCACTGCCCTTAAGCCATTCTTAATGAAACGCAAAGATTTATAAAACCAAAACACCGAGAATCAGTGTTCACTTGAGAACATCCTTTCAAGAACACTTCTTTGTGATTCCTGAAAGTGGCTAACAGCAGAACTGCAAATACCACCGTTTGTAGAATGGGCTTTTGTTGTGTCCCAGAAAATCACAGGCACTGACTGAACACAAATCACAATAATGTCAGCTGTGTTACCTAAGGAGCCTAATTACAACAAATTAATTTGACATTCCAGAAAACAAGATCTTGACTGGTCAAGTTTTGTGATAAATAAAGTTTGATTTAACCCACATATTTTTGTATACATACATACATACATACATATATATATATATATATATATATATATATTGTATATCCCCGACGTAAGAATATCCAAAACACAAAGATTCCATTTTTTCTATGATCCAAACTTTTGGTGATTCTTGAAATTACCTCAATAACTCTGTTTTCACAGTCCATCTTCTATTATCATTACAGCAGCTCACTTTCCCGTATGTGAAACACGCAGATGTAAAAATGTTTTGAAGGATTTAGCACTCGCTGTACACGAAACAACAGTCCCCCCTTCCGGACGAGGATGACATTGCACTCCATTGCACAGAAACCTCTGCAAAGGAATGCACTGCTCACGGTTACTGCATGTTTTCAACAAGCACTGCTTAAAAAATGTACGTGCTACGGAATGGGAAGGACTGTGAGGCGTGCCTTAACGGGTGGTTAATTGAAGTTCTCGTGCTGCTGGACGTTAGCATGGATTATATGAGTAAAGAGCAAATCTAATAGTCAACATAAATAAGGGTTTCCAATAACCCTGACTGAATTCAGAGGTGACCAGGAAGCAGTTCAGACCTCCGGCCGTGTGGAGTTCATGAGCCTCTAGTTGGCTTTGCAGTTTATGGAGCAGCAGTCAGAATGGCTGTGTGAGGTGTGAGCTGGCAGAACATCTGCTCTGCCTTGTGGCAGGGCTACAGTATGAAAGACAGAGATTAAAAAGTGACACTGGCGACAGACCGAAGGAGCAGGAAAACTACAATTCACCCTTGCACAGGCAGGTTATTTCGAAGAAAAAGAAAACAAACAAACCCAAGGCAGCCTGTGTTTAAGAATCAGGTTATCAAAAAAAAATCTATCTGGACTTTACTAAGTCCTCTGACACGGTAGCCCACAACATCCTTCTCTCCAAATTGGAAAGATACGGGTTTGATAGGTGGACTGTTGAGTGGACAAAGAACTGGCTGCAGGATTGAGTGGTCAGTGATGGTCAATGGCTCGGTGTCTGGATGGATGAGTGGTGACAAGTGCTGTCCCCCAGGGGTTGGAGCTGGGGCTGACACTCTTTAACGTCTTCATCAGTGACACTGACAATTACAGTGGGGTTGAGTGCACCCTCGGGAGAATTGCTGATGACACCAAGCTGCGGGTGCGATCAACACCAGAGGGATGGGGTGCCATTCAGAGGGACCTAGACAGGCCTGAGCAGAGGGCCCAGGTGAACAACATGAGATTTAACAAATCCGAGCGCCAGATCTTGCACCGGAGTCGAGGCAGTCGAATACGAGCTAGAGGACAAAAGGATTGAGTGCAACCCTGGTGAAAAAGACCTGGGGGTAATGGTGAATGGCAGGATGGACATGAGCCAGCAGTGTGCCCTCACAGCCCAGAAAGCCAACCAGATCCCAGGCTGCATCAAAGGAACTGTGGCCAGCAGGTTGAGGGATGTGATCCTGCCTCTCTACTCTGCACTGGTGAGACCTCACCTGGAGTCCTCACTACAGGAGTGATATAAACCTCCTGGAGGACGTCCAGAGAAGGGCCACAAAAATGACCCATGGAATGGAACACCTATGGTGTCCTATCCTAGTGGCTTCTGCTCTGGAAAGTTTTTCAGCTAATTTTAAGGTACCGTGAAGTTCCTTAGATACTAGACAGTATGTTCTCTGTATGTATACTAGACAGTATGTAATTTTTTTTTCTCTTTCCCAATTGATGTGCAGGCTACAAAATAACTTTTCTCAATGACTCTTTCTCCAAAATGACATAATACTGCAGCCATAAGATGAATGGATTGAATCCTCGCACGTAATGGATGGAGCTGGCGCAGACTCTTCCCTTCAGGTAGGCAAGCACCATGCGTGGCATGGGCTTCTGCAGCCTCCACCTGTCAGGCCGCTGGCCCTGACATCCAGACAGCAGAAGCGGGCCAGGCCTCGGGGAGGAAGAGGAGGCCAGAGAAGAGCCCGAGTTGCCGGGCACTTGAGGGAAACCATCACCAGTTGCTTTACCATCAACCAGATGTGCAGTCGCTCAGGAGCTCTGGTTGCAGCGAGAATTTGAGAACCTTTCTGGCAACTGCGAGGTCCTCCACAGCACATCCACTCACACAGATGAGGTCTCCAACTTTGCTACAAGAGGATCCAGCTTTTATATTGTTATATTATCGTATCCACCAATCTGATTCCTGTGCCCGGGGGTTTCCCTGTCCACAGGTGTTGTGATCTGGGCACACCTATCCCCCAAAGTAGGACTGCAGAGCAAAATGCCTCTGCTTTTGCATGCGGCCAGCACCAGCTCCCCTTCAATGCCATTTCCAGGGTGCTGAACAAGACACCGGGCACATGCACGGCAGAGGAGCACCCCACGCACTGGGAGATTCGCAGGCACAGGAATCAGACAGGTGGGGTATGAGCCCCACGAGTCCCAGCACTGAGCTGAGCCACTCCCAGCAGAGCATCCAAGCAAGACGGCCTCTCGCTCTCACCTCGACGAAGAAACATCGTTGAGCAGGCAGTAGCTGCTCTCTTCTAGTGTGTCTTGGAGCATGGTCTGCAGAGTGCGCTGCCTGTCACTGCAAGTGTTGTGGTTTCGTGATTTTTGTTGTAGGTATTCATAACATCATAACATCACGTAAAGCAGTGGGAGTTAAATGATCTGCACAGACTGAACCTGCAGGACAGGTTAAATAGGAGTGAAAGAAAAGCTACTGAGTCAATTGCCAGATACCCTGCTGTTATTCATTAATTCATTCAGAAACGCAGAGGGAGACTGATGCTTAGCGTCGTGCAGTGACGCAGGCAGACCTGCCTATGGCCCTGCCATAAGTCCCTGTGAGGCAAAGAAGATAAGCTAGTTTCCAGCCCTGAGAAGGCAGACCACAGTAACTCACAAGATGAGGGAAACTGGATCCTCCTCTCTGCTTGGAATAGGAGGACCCACTCCCTTTCCCCTAAAGTGGCTCAGAGCAATAGCTGAGAGCCTGTGGGGTAAGAAAGACAAGAGAGGATGGTGTGCAGGTAACAGTTTGAACAGTTTGAAGCCAGCAAGTTACAGCCACCGGTCCAGCCAAGGACTCACGCCACTGGTTCGAAACCAGTGTCAGGAGAAAAAGGCAAAAGGTGTTAGCAACTGGAGGCTACTTGCTGAGAGGCACCAAGGCAGCCGTCTGCCGCCTGGATGAGCTCTCCAAGTAGGTTTGCTACCTGCCAGGCGTCTGCGTTCATGAAAAGAATTGAAGAAGGAGGCCGTGGGGTCTGATAAAGACAGCTACTATCAACCCTTCTCCTTCAAGGCGGGTCACATGAGACTGCAACAAGGAGATGACAAAATCTGAAGGGAGATGGGTAGTGTTCTCCTCGACCACCATGCTGGGCAACCATGACCCAGGAAGAAGGAGGCAAACCCGGCAGGTGAATGGCTGGTGGTGTGATACAGCCACAGAATCATTAGGGACAGATAAGACCTCTCAGGTCATCAAATCCAACCATCAGCACATCCCCACCATGCCCACTAATCATATCCCTCAGTGCCACATCCACGTGTTCACTGAGCACCTCCCGGGACGGTGAGTGCACCGCCTCCCTGTGCTGCCAGTTCCAACGCCTCACTGCTCTTTCTGGGAAGAAATTCTTCCTAATATCCATGATGTCTTGCTCAGGGTTATGGGTACTGTGTTCCTGGATACAACTTCGAGATACCAGGCATATTGAGGTTGGATGAAATGCAGCTGACCAGGAGGGGCAAGAATTCTGGGCAGCATGCTGGCTGGGCTGGTTATTGCAGCTTCACACTGGATATAGAGAGAGATGGGGGTGTATTTCCAAGTGACAGAGAAGAGCCTGGAAACACCGTCACTTTTGGAAACGGCCTAGAGAAAACTCAGATTTGTACTGGTGCAACTCTCCTCCAAGAAGGCAACAGGGCTGACAGCCCAACTGAAGCCTCAACACATGCAGCACGGTTAAGAAGTAGAAGGAGCTACAGTGCAGTCAAAAAACAGTGACCTATCACAGCAGTGCGGTGAGACGAACCACCACACTGGGGTGCTACAACGGAGCGCCACAAGGCTTTTGGAAGAAAGAAGGCAGGGAAGAAGAGGCTGGGGAGCTGCCCTCAGTGTGAACTGGGTGTTAGCTGTTGTGGTTTCGTGATTTTTTGCGGTCAGTATTCCACATCTGAACATCATGGGGACCAGTGGGAGTTAACGCGTGAATGTGCTGGTTCCCTTTACTGTCTTTTGCGGACTCTTTGAGTATCGCCATGGGAGGGGAGGGGGCGGCATCCCCGGAGGACCTGGCGGGCACAGGAGTGCGGTGGAGCTGCGGACGGGACCCGGAGCGGCTGCCTCTCTCCTTCTGGCCCGGCTCAGCCGGCTCAGCTCGCCGCGGAGAAAGCGCGTGCTTTCCTCGCACTGTCGTGGTTTGACTCTCATTTTTTGATACTCTCGTCTCTCTCGTTTTCTTTTAGTTCGATTCAGAAAATTACCCTTCCTCCTCAGATCGTTGCCGTCGTGTTTTCTCTTTGTTAACACTGCCCGCCAGCTCTCTGCCCTTCCCCCTCTCCGGGACGCGCGTGGCCCGGGGCCGGCCGGGTGGCGGCAAACCGTTCGTAACCGTTTTTTTTTCCTCTTCTTCCCGGGGCTGTGCCCTTGTCACGGACTTATATCTAAGGATAGCCCGTGACATTAACCAATGGGAATTGTGCAGGGCTGCCTCTGAAAAACAGCCGCGATCGTGTTGAGAGCTGACGGGTGCTCTGAGCCGTGGGCCGTGGCCCACACGGCCCAGCACAGCTCGCAGGGCAGCCGTCCCTGCCCGGCGCCTTCACAGCAGTGGCCCTATCTTAGCAGAGAGAAACACCACGCCGTATTCGTGTCACCGCTTTTAGGCCACACGCACAGTTGTGAGCACCCATTCTCAAGGAGGAAGCACAGGAGAAACGTATCCGAAATCTCTGACAAACACCTTGAGACCTCACTGAGTATGGCAGCTGCTTCCATCTGACAGACTGAGGTGTTTCACAGAAACGCCAGATGGTTTTGGTGCTGCCCTTTCTGTGTTTTAAGAAAAGCAACGCCTCCTATTTTGTTACGTCAGCCCATGGCGCCAGAGGCAGATGCTGGAGGTAGGGCAGAAGGGGCTGACATCCACCCACATGGTGTGAAGATGTGCTCCCACACTCCTTCTCCCCCACAAATGGTTCATTCACCAGCTTCCTAGCTTTAGCCTTATTGATCTGGCTTAATGTAGCATGGAAGCGATAAGAAAGTCTTTCAGCCACCCTGCCTTCTAGAGGAGCTCTGCAAGTCGTTGTGAAGAAAAACAAAATAAAGCAGGTTAACTTCTGTATCTGGAGACAGTCAAGTAGCTTTTGAAGCTGTCCCACTCTCTACCGTCTCTTCATCCAGAGAGCCAGAGCTCTCACAGTAGGCCCTTGATACTTCCTCTTCTGGCCTGCCCAATATAGACCTCGGCAAGCACCTCATGGTTTTTTTAGGCTCTGTCAGCTTCGCTAAGAGTTTAGCTTAGGTTGACTGTGCTCCTGTGATCCTGCAGACACAAACCGTTGATCGGCCCCGCAAGTAGGAGTGAATTCAGCTGGACCTAGAGGCTTAGAAAGCAGGGGGTGTTAAATCACATGATACCTACGCTGCATGAATAATACAGATGATGTTTATTCTGTATTAGTAAATAGATGTTAATACATAGATGTAGATGTAAAGACAAAAGCTTCCCTACTGCGAGTGAAGATGATGGTGCACTGGTGTCCTTCAGTAACAGCACGGTGAAGCAAGAAGGCTGGCTGTCTTTCAGGGAAGCCAGAGGAGCCAGCAAGGAGCACACAAAGGGGTGTGCAGGGCCTCAGGGCTGGAGCTGGGGGCAGCCCTGAACTCAGCCAGAGTAGCACAGCCAGACAGCTCTTAGGGAGTGCAGCTTCCTCTCCCACACACTTCTGAGCCGGTAACAAAGAGCTTGCTGGGTGCTGATTACAGGCGTTGTTCTCAGGAGCTGGATGGTTTCAGCCAGCAGGATGGAAATGGAAGGGCTGCTGGTGCTCTCCAAACTTCTCAGGGCTGATGTGGAAGAGAACAGAGTGGAAATCAGAGCCCTCGTCTGTGCAAAGCAAGCCAGGAAATTCTCCTGTGTAGCCACCCCACCCAGCTCTTCCCAGGGCCAGAATGGAGCAGGGATACAGCGGGGTCAGCTGCAGAGGGGCTGGCAGCAAACGCTCGCTGCTTTGCCCGCACTGCCCCTTGTCCGCAGAGGTTGCAGAGCGCTCCTGGGTCGGGACCAGGATTGCAGCTCGCCGCCCAGTGTCTTTTCTTCTCCCTGCCACACTGCTTTGACCCCCACGCTGCTCTCACTCACCCTCAATGGTGGTGTTCAGCTTCTCCTCACGTCCATTTCTCAGGTGTCTCCCGGCAAGCCCTAGACACACACAGCCCGTCAGAAATCCCACCAGGATGGGAGGGATGGGAGGTGGCCAGCCCACCTCTCCAGCACAGTTCCCCCAGCATCCTTGCTGGCCTGGCCACGCACCCGCGACTGCAGCACCCTGAGAGGCACCAAGGCACCCAGCAAGGCTCCCACCGCCACCCGCTGCACAGGCAGGGCTGCGGGAGGGCAGCAGGGAGCCCCTCGAGAACCCAGCCCCCGCCTTGGGCCAGCACAGCTCCGCGGGCACATGGCTCAGCCAGCAGCAGCACATGCTGGGGTCGAGCTGCTGCGGGGCGCAGAAGGGTCGGGGTTCGTGGCTCACCAATGAACCTGATGGCCGCCTCTTGCAGTGGTTCCTGGGGGCTGCATAGGTAGGACAGGCTCTGCTCCAGGAACTGATCTGCTCTGCTGCTGTGGCCCACCAGCTGGAAGACAGCACACATGGATGGGGCTGGCGCATTCTCTTCCCCTCGGGCAGGCAAGGGCCATGCATAGCATGGGCCTCCGCGAGGGAAAGGAGGCCGGAGAAGAGCCCAAGCTGCCGGGCACTTGAGGGGAAGGGGTATATGAACGGCAGCAGGCTGTGCCCTTCAGCATGAAGCTGTGGTAGAGGCATGGGCACTGGCCCCACACCCTGGGCCAGGCCTGGCAGGCCTCATCTGGGCCAGATCTCAGGAGCTCTGGGGCACTTGTCCTTACCAGGCACTCGCCGATCCTCTGCAGCTGCGCTGTCTTCAGCAGATAGCTGAGGTGCCTGTGCTTCAGCAGCTTGGCGGCACAAAGAAGGGCTTCCCAGGAGGCCTGCAGAGGAACAGAGACCAGGAGATGCCTTCAGTGCCTGCCAAACAGGGCTGGTGTGTCCTGCACCTTGCCACAGCTTGGGGCTTTATTGGGCTCTGGTGAGAAGGAAGATGCAGCAGCTGGGGAAAGGTATCTGTTCTGTGCTCAGGCAGGGGCATGGGCCAACCACCATCTCTGGCACTGGGTGCTGCCAATGCCCAGGCCATCCTGAGGGCTGTCAGCACCTGCTTCCTCCAGTGACCGTGCAGTTTAGAAATGCCCACCTGAGCCACGCTCTGGTCCTCGTCATGCAGGTGGAAGAAGAGAGGCACGAGGATGTTGTGCACTTCCTCCTTAATCTCCACTGTGTGGGTGTCCCCTGCAACCTCCATGGCATCCTTACAGAGAAGGATGGAGCGCTGCCTCGTCTGGGCGGACTCCTGGTGACACAGAACAAGAGACACAGAACTGAGTCCTGCCTTCTCCAAGCCTCCAAGCCAAGGTCGAGCAAGGGCGTGGGCTGGCCAACAGGGACCCAAACGTTTGTGACTCTCCCGCTCACAGCAGGGAGCTGCAAAAAGCCAGCTGTGCAAGCAGCACCATTGCGCAGCTGTACACCACTGTCAAAGCTGTGCATCTGCAGGGCTCCGCACGGGAGGGGCTGCCCCAGCACGACAGCCTGAGAAGCACCAAGCAAAAGATTTCCTGCACACAGCCAGGCACTGTGGTGGGAAGAGGAGAATTCGTAGGCCAGTCCAGTTAGGCACACACCACGCGCTCATACGCCCCGCAGCCATACTTCCAAGCCTCCCACTCCCCCACTGGCCTTACGTTAAAGAAGAAGGGCAGCAGGAGCTCAGGCAGCTGCAGGGCAGTGGGCACCACCTTCTCTCTGTCTGCCAGGTGCAGCATGTTGTGGAGGACAGTCACAGACTTCACACCGATGATGCTGTGGGCATCTTGCAGTTGCTCTGTGATCTCTGGCAGCAGGTCTTGCAGAGTTACTGCCTGTGGCAAACACAGCATTTCTTCTTCAGAAACCTCAAGCACCACCCCAGCAGAACACCTCTGCTTACAGACCGCACAGCCCAGGGCAGAGACCTGTTTGGGGCTGGATCTGAGCACACAGTGTCCCGTGGGATGGAATGGGATGGGATGGGATGGGATGGGATGGGATGGGATGGGATGGGATGGGATGGGATGGGATGGGATGGGATGGAATGGAGGGCTGCTGCCTTTGGCTTCCAAAGCAACCATTGGTATCAGTGCAGCCCTCAATGGCTGATGAAAAAGGCAGTGGGGCAGTAGCGCAGCTGACAACTCTCAGTATTACGGACAAAGTCCAGGCAAGCCTATGTGGGCACCGCCGCCTGGGGCTGGGCTGCAGGCCCTCTTTGCCATCCCTTTGTCTCAGTGCCACCCACTCACCATCTCGGGTATCGCAGACAGCCTGACCAGGCTGGTGGTAGCCAAGTCACGCAGCAATGAGTACTGACTCTTCAGGTGTGACTGGAGCAGGCTCTGGATGCTGTAGCCATTGACGTACGCCACGATGTCAGTGACCTTAACGCACTTCAGCAGCTGAAACACACCCAGCAGTACCATGAGAGGCCGTCCCCGTCGGCAGGATCCATGTGATGAACTGCCGCCCCCCCTCAAGGCCCAGGGCAGGAGGCCAAGGGCCAGCCACAGTTCTGTCTCGTGGCAGCACAGCAGCTCCCTTCCTGCTGCTCCTGCCCTCACAGCCATGTGCAGCCTCTCGCTCTCAGGAGCTGCACCAAATGCATGTTCTTCCACCCTTTTCCTCAGCCTCGAGGGGAAAAGGCCTTGGGGCAGGGCTGTCCCCAGCGGTGAGAGCGGCCCTGCTCTGTGGACATGCAACCTGACCCTCCCCACTCTGCCACACAGACTAAGGCAGAGGCACCTCCAGGAGGCACCGCTCGCCTCTAGGCCCACCTCAGCAAACACAGCCATGGTCCCGATCTCCTTGTGCTCCTGTCTTTGCGCGAGAGCTGTGACTGTTTCTTCAAACACCATGGGACAGCAGAGCGGTACTGTGCTTCGCAGCGCCCTGGTCAGGGAACGAACACAGAGATGCACTCAGTTTGCTGAGAAGCCTATCTTACGAACAACTTGTGGTCTTCCCACAGGTGCCCGCTGCTGGCCACCTCAGCTTCCCAAGTCCCTGGGCTCTTCGTTGGCTCGAAGGCCACCCTTCTGGCTGCTCTGCCACACATCTCCGGCACAGGCCGCGGCACTGCATGCAGAGCCAGCCCCGGCAATAGCCGCAGCCAGCAGTGCGCAGGGAAAGGGTGCTCTGGGAGGTGACAGGCCCTGCAAGTCCTTTCTCACCAGGCAACAGCAGCCCCTCTCCAGGGGAAAAGAGCTGGGGAGACAGGGACAAGTGGGGAGGCTCTCACCTGGTCAGCACAGCCACGCCTGTGTGGTAGGTGTCAAGGCTCATAAGCATGTCCCAGCCACCCTGCTGCTCTATGTCCTCCACCAGACCGTCACTCTTCAGGTGTTGGAAAAGAGCTCTCATGCTCTCCACCGCATGCCTGCGGACACAGCAAAGCGTGCGTCACACTGGAAGCCCTGGCTCTGAGCCTGGGGCAGAGACCCGGCAGCGGGGATGGAGCACCTGATGATGTTCACAGGCGACATGTCCTCATCATCGGTGATCGCACTGAAGCAGCCATGCTGTGTGCACTGCAGCAGGAAGGAGATCTGGAAGAGCATCCCTACGTACAGCTTGTGGATCAGCTGCCAAGCAGAGCCTTTAGTGGAGGGCAGATGGAGGATCGCGTGCAGGGCATGACTTATCTGCAGGAAGCACCCAAGGATGGCCCTCAGGGTACAGCTGCCCCTGCCATGCTGCCCAAGCCCATGGGGTGACATGCTGGGGTTCGAGGGGCAAGGAAAGAGAGGACAAAGGGCTGCGGAGGGGCTGCAGGGGGGAGGTGGGAAGAGACAGTAAGGAAGGGAAAGGGAGTGGAGAAGAGAGGAGGCGTGGGGAATGCAGCCCTGCCAGGGGTGAGCGAGGTGTCATCCAGAAACTCACTGCCAGGTAACCGGTGCAATTGTGGCCCGGGCCAAGGCCATCGTGCCTGGGCTTTGGCCATTTCTGCAGCAGGGACTCCAGCACGACCTCTGCAAGGCTGGGTTCGGAGACCATCGTCTGCCACATGATTGCAGAAGACCTGCAGAGACAAAGCACGCTGTGTCAGGGACTGCCCCAGCCACCATCCCTTGGCCTGTGCTGGCCCCAAGGGTCTTGAGCCATCCATGAGGTGTGCGGGCCCCGCAAGTGTCGCACCATGGGATGTCACGCAGCACGAAGCTGACCACACACTGTGGGTTCAAGCGTGTCATCTGCTGAAGGGTCCGGATCGCAATGTCCCGGAGCGACTCCTCACAGTCCGACATGAGGTGGTCGTAGATGCTCTGCACGATCAGTGGCACCTGGAGGAGACAAAAGGGCACTGAGATGGAGCAAAGCCACAGCCCCAGCTGCCAGGGGGTAATGCTGCTTCCTCCTGTGGCGCTTCACTGGTCTGAAAAGCCAGCCAAGCTCTCAGGCTGCACTCTCAGGTCAGGGGAAGCCCCGCAGAGGGCAAAAGCACAGGGCAATCTGGCTGAGAAGTGCTTACGTTCGAGAGCTGAGGGTCCGCATCTTTCAGGACCGCATCCAACGTCCTGGCAACCACATCGGTGTCAGAGACCCTTGGCTGCGTTATGCCCTGCAGGATGGTTAGGATGAAGTCTCCCATCTCGCTGGGGCAGAGCCAGCTGCCCACTACCTGTGGGAAGGAGGAAGGGAGATAAGGCCAGATGCAGTGTGTTTAATGGTGATGGGACACATGTGAGCAGCAGCGAGGGTGGCTCTGGAGAGGGGGAGAGATCCAGGGCAGCACTGGCGCTGTAACCCAGGGGAGCCCAGCGCTGAGCTGACTGCAGCCTCAGCGGGTGCAGAGAGGGAGCTGTTGTGCAGAGCCATGGCTGGGCTGGAGTCAGGGTCACAGAGCGCTGGCTCTGCAAGCAGCGGGGGCTCACCGATAGCCAGAACAGCTGCAATCACAGCTCTGACACTGAGAGAAAGTCTTTGGCTACTCCCAGCTGAGACACGGCTGGACCCTGCAGCCAGATTGTTGAGAGGCTGAGACAGCCCCTGCCTCGTGCCCACACTAACTGGCCCGTTGGCTCACATGAGCCTCCTGCCACGGGGAGTCTAGCATCCCAGCAAGGGACGAGCTGCTTACCAGTGTATTCAGAGCAGCATACTGGGCACAGAAAAAGTCCCAGCATTCACCATCCGCATACGATTGGAGATTGGCATGTCCAAACTTGTAACCTGGGCAGAAGGAGTAAGAGAGTGAGTGGTAGGACTGATGGGGAGAAGGCAAGAAGAGCACCTCTCAGGCTGCAGAGAGGCAGGAGAGCTAGGTCCAGCTTTCTGCCCTGAAGGAGGAGAGCAGCCCTGCCATGCCGCTGCTATAGACTCGCCAAGACAAGGAGGGCGGCCAAAGAGGTGCGCTGCCTCGCCTGGAAGTTATTGTGTGGAGCACCGCAGCCCATCCCAGCCTCTCTTACTCTCTCGCATTGCCAGGATCCTGTGGATGCCATGCAGAGCCTCCATAGAATCACGCCTGATGTCCTGGTCCTCCTCGGCACAGCCCAGGATGAGGTGCCCCAACAGCTTCCCCACGAGCATCTTGGACTGGTTTTGTATGGAGCGATCGCCGTCCCAGCTTTCACTGTATTGAGTCGAGCTCTGAGGAACGAAGGAAAGGCAGAGTTGCTGGGCTGAACTGGTGCGCCTGGGACAAAAGCCCTGTCCCCCCAGAGCCAGCAGCGGGTTGAGCACTACAGGAGTTGAGCACCAGCGCTTTGGCCAGCTCTGCCCTGGGCCACGCAGGGGCTGACCCGTGGCAGACCCACATCTAGGTGAGGAGCACACGGACTGTCTTTGGTGAGAACTGTTGAAGGGTTTTGAGTGGCTGCTGGATTTTGGTGTGTAGAGGACTCTGTCCCAGACCTGCTGGTCTTGCAGGGAGCCCAGAGCTACCAGCTTACTGGGGCACCAGGAAGGGGCAAGAAGGGGGTTAAACGCTGCCCGTCTCTCCGGCTTCTTACCGCTATCAGAGAAGCAGGGACTAGGACTTTGCTCAGGTTGGCAATCCTCCCCATGGCACACCGGCGCACTCTCAGCCACTCAGATTCGGCGCAGGGCAGCAGGGCCTGAGAAGACAAAAGCTGTTGGTCAACCACAGATGCGATGGCAGCTCCTGAAGCGGCCGCTGTGCCGGGCAACTGGCGGGGCACTGACAAGGTGCCCAGGCTTCCCCTGAACAGGAGAAGAGCCTGGAATGGAGGCCCGGCCTCCTGGCAGCCTCAGGAATGGCTGCCCCAGCGGAGACCTGCTGCGGTCACCAATCATTATCCCCACCCTCAGCTCCTACAAAATGGCTCTGCCCCTTTTCCAAGAGGGAAGGGCTTTGGGGCTGGCATGCTGCTGGGTGCCCTCAGCGGCCAGAAGAAGAGCGTTTCAAGGCTGAGCTCCCTTCGCATGGTGGCCACATCCCAGCAGACCTCGGCCTTGCTGACATCTGGCACAAAGAGTATCCCCGAGGCAGGTAAAGGAGGGCAGTGGGTCAGCGGTGCCAGCCGCCGCTGCGGGGTCTGGGAAGGGCACTCAGCAGCCTTCCGCTGCTCAGGTGCAAACCACTGGACTTCAGGTGGTTGCGTCCCCACCCCATTGCCCGCTTTCTGTGCCTCTTTCTGGGACACGGTGCCCACCCCAGAGCATCCCTTCTCTCTGGAGGAAGGAAGAGCCCCTGTGAGCCTTGCTCTCTGCACGTGCCAGACCTGCAAGACGATCACCAGGTTGAGGGTGGCGGAGTGTGGCGGAAGACGCAGCAGCACATGCAGCACGCTGTCCAGAGCTTGCAGCATCTGCAAGAAGAACAGAGCAGGTGTGCACTTTTGCTTGCCCTTTTTTTGCAGGAAGCTGGCTTCAACTCCTGCCACCTGAAGCAGAATTCAGCCACCCTACAGTGCCAGGAGCCTGCCCTGTGGTGCCTCCGGGTCTGCCTTGGCTGTCTCCTTCCAGCAGCCAAAGCTAACTGGAAAAAGCGTGCAGAATTGGCTGGCAGGCTCTCTGTAGCACAGCCAGCTCTTACCTCATTGTAGAGAGAAGCGTCAAAGCTGATCTCTTTCTCCTGTTCGGCGAGAAAGCAGATGTAGCTAACACAGGGGCTGAGGTGCTGTTGGATCTGGGCTATGATCTCAGTGCTGCAAGGAGAGGAAATGCCTGTTGGATGCTGGCAGCTGGGGCATGCCTGCTGCTGTCAGGCCCTTGCTGTGGAGAGCCCTTGCACAGCCGGGCTCTGGGGCACTTGCCTCCTTGCAGTGATGGCGAGCGCGGCGTGCCTGCCCAGGCACATCAGCGGTTGCCAGTACTGGGGGAACTTCTTCCGCAGTAGCACCTGGAGAGAGACGGACGGCGCAACTGAGCTGGGACTCGGGCGCTGCCGGCAGCCAGCACGAGGGTGCACAGCACCGCTGTCCCCGCGCCGACACCGGCACCCGAGGCAGAAGCCCCATGGCCGGCAGGCAGCTCTGCGCCCAAAGAGATCTGTCCCACTCGTCCCCGTTCGCACCGCCGGGCCGGCATCCGGCCAGCTCGGCCCCTTCCTTCAGCCTCGCCGGGTGCCCCTCACCTCGTGCTGCGCGTCCAGCTTGCCGTCGGCCAGGTACCTCCCCTCCAGCCGCAGTCTGCAGACGGTACGGAGGGAGACCAGGAAGCTCGTCCTCGCGTCCAGCTCCTGACAGTCGAGGAGACGAACGGGAAGAGTGAGAGGGCGCGAGCAGCGGGGCCGCTGCGCGGAGGGGGTGCAGCGGTGGTGCGGGGGGCCGGGAGGGCAGCAGCTCTGCGCGGCCAGCCGCGCTCCGAGAGCCTGGGTGCGGGCAGCAAGCACGGCGGCACCCGGCTGGGAGCGGCGGGCAGAGCCTCGCGCCGACGAAGTCGGACATCGTTACCTTTTCCTGGCCGGCGAGGAAGGACCAGAAGAACTCGCAGTCCTCCTTCTCCTTGTCATCCAGCTGCTCGACGCCGAAGGCAGCGGCAGCGTCATCTGCTAAAGAAGGAGCGTGGAGAGCTGGGGGCGAGGGCGGTAGGCGCAGGGAAGAGCCGCGCCCTCTCCGGCTCCGTTGCCGCCGCCCCGCAGACGGGGGAGCCACGCATCGGCTCCGGCGCCGGTGCCCGCTCTTCCCCTGGCGGAGCGAGGAACGAGGCTCCCGGCGTCGAGCAGGGTGCGCTCCCTGGCCGCGGTCCCGCCCAGCCCGACTCAAAGCCTCGCTCGCTGGCGGGCTCCACGTGTAGCGGCTGGCACGGCGCCGCCGTGGCACACGGCCACGAGCCCCGACCGCAGCCCGCCGCGGAGCCCGGAGCCGGGGCTGCGGCTGGCCGGGCCCGGTGCCGCCCGCGTACTCACCGGTCTGGAGACCGCGGATCTCCTCGAACGATTCGAACGACTCTCGGCCATCCATCTCTGTCCCCGGGGAACACAAGAACTGGGACTCTGAGGGAACGCTATCGGTAGAAGTGGAGCTCCTCGAAGAGCCTCGCTGCTCCCGTGCAGTCCCGTCGCTGTCCTCCTGGACACTGAGGGGCTGCCGTGCCGTGCCTGGGTAGCCCCAGGCGTTCCATGGGCGTCACAAAGGCCCCATTATGCCATCACCTGCGCCACAGTGTTTGCGCTGCCCACTGCCCGAGGATTGCCACAAGGCTGTCCACCTTTGGGCACCTGAACTGTCTCGCTTAAAGTCCAGGCTGAATATGGCCCCAGGCACTACACAAACACACCCTCTCTGATGCACTCCCCTTTCACAGCGCCTCTGTCACATTGCTGCCTTAAGCTTTAGCATAGCTTTTCATCGCCGTGGTATCGAAAGGTGTCTTGTGCAGAATTACAGCAATGATGAAAGCACCCGAGGAGTGTTTGGCACTTCCCTCTGTGGGAATCAAATGTTGTTTCTGCCTTAGAATTGGATATTTTTTTTTTATTTTTTTTTTTTTTCATGATCTCCGCTATCATAGTTCTTTTTGGGAGTCCTTCTACTTAACTTGTGGAAGATCTCTGGTAAGTTCACATTACTTATCCTCTAGACGAACCTTCCTGGGAACGCACACATTGTATATAGGTGTATAGATGCATATTTTGTCATACACACTGCAAGAATATCCTGCACGAGAGCAAACCAGAGAACTAGCCATGGTTCTCCACGTGGAGAGAACTCCACATGCCCAAGGAAGCGCCCTAAGAGACACTGGAAGGCCTGGCATCATCCCCCAGTACTCTTTGTTCAACGAAGACTTTAAAGAAAATCACTGTATCAATACAAGGAGAGCATGGAGACATTTTGGAAACAACAGGATGGCTACTGACTGGCACCAGATAACAAATAAATTGACAAGTAAATAGCAAATGTAAACCTTCTGATAAGATTGTGAACCTGGAGTACCCAGCCAGTGGGGAAACAGAGGAGGGGGGGGAGGCAAGGGGGAGAAAACCGGGTCTAAAGGCTCTCATGATGTATCCATAGGTGTGCTCCTGCTTGCGGGACGCCCGCCATTGCAATCGCGAATAAAATCTGCTTTTATCAGAGATACCGTCCAGACAAAATTACTTGGATATTTCCAACAAGGATTGAGTGGTCAGTGATGGTCAATGGTGTGGGGTCTGGATGGACGAGCGGTGACAAGTGCTGTCCCCCCCTTCATCAGTGACACTGACAATTACAGTGGGGTTGAGTGCACCCTCGGGAGAATTGCTGATGACACCAAGCTGCGGGTGCGATCAACACCAGAGGGATGGGGTGCCATTCAGAGGGACCTAGACAGGCCTGAGCAGAGGGCCCAGGTGAACAACATGAGATTTAACAAATCCGAGCGCCAGATCTTGCACCGGAGTCGAGGCAGTCGAATACGAGCTAGAGGACAAAAGGATTGAGTGCAACCCTGGTGAAAAAGACCTGGGGGTAATGGTGAATGGCAGGATGGACATGAGCCAGCAGTGTGCCCTCACAGCCCAGAAAGCCAACCAGATCCCAGGCTGCATCAAAGGAACTGTGGCCAGCAGGTTGAGGGATGTGATCCTGCCTCTCTACTCTGCACTGGTGAGACCTCACCTGGAGTCCTCAGTACAGGAGTGATATAAACCTCCTGGAGCACGTCCAGAGAAGGGCCACAAAAATGACCCATGGAATGGAACACCTATGGTGTCCTATCCTAGTGGCTTCTGCTCTGGAAAGTTTTTCAGCTAATTTTAAGGTACCGTGAAGTTCCTTAGATACTAGACAGTATGTTCTCTGTATGTATACTAGACAGTATGTAATTTTTTTTTCTCTTTCCCAATTGATGTGCAGGCTACAAAATAACTTTTCTCAATGACTCTTTCTCCAAAATGACATAATACTGCAGCCATAAGATGAATGGATTGAATCCTCGCACGTAATGGATGGAGCTGGCGCAGACTCTTCCCTTCAGGTAGGCAAGCACCATGCGTGGCATGGGCTTCTGCAGCCTCCACCTGCCAGGCCGCTGGCCCTGACATCCAGACAGCAGAAGCGGGCCAGGCCTCGGGGAGGAAGAGGAGGCCAGAGAAGAGCCCGAGCTGCCGGGCACTTGAGGGAAACCATCACCAGTTGCTTTACCATCAACCAGACGTGCAGTCGCTCAGGAGCTCTGGTTGCAGCGAGAATTTGAGAACCTTTCTGGCAACTGCGAGGTCCTCCACAGCACATCCACTCACACAGATGAGGTCTCCAACTTTGCTACAAGAGGATCCAGCTTTTATATTGTTATATTATCGTATCCACCAATCTGATTCCTGTGCCCGGGGGTTTCCCTGTCCACAGGTGTTGTGATCTGGGCACACCTATCCCCCAAAGTAGGACTGCAGAGCAAAATGCCTCTGCTTTTGCATGCGGCCAGCACCAGCTCCCCTTCAATGCCATTTCCAGGGTGCTGAACAAGACACCGGGCACATGCACGGCAGAGGAGCACCCCACGCACTGGGAGATTCGCAGGCACAGGAATCAGACAGGTGGGGTATGAGCCCCACGAGTCCCAGCACTGAGCTGAGCCACTCCCAGCAGAGCATCCAAGCAAGACGGCCTCTCGCTCTCACCTCGACGAAGAAACATCGTTGAGCAGGCAGGAGCTGCTCTCTACTAGTGTGTCTTGGAGCATGGTCTGCAGAGTGCGCTGCCTGTCACTGCAAGTGTTGTGGTTTCGTGATTTTTGTTGTAGGTATTCATAACATCATAACATCACGTAAAGCAGTGGGAGTTAAATGATCTGCACAGACTGAACCTGCAGGACAGGTTAAATAGGAGTGAAAGAAAAGCTACTGAGTCAATTGCCAGATACCCTGCTGTTATTCATTAATTCATTCAGAAACGCAGAGGGAGACTGATGCTTAGCGTCGTGCAGTGACGCAGGCAGACCTGCCTATGGCCCTGCCATAAGTCCCTGTGAGGCAAAGAAGATAAGCTAGTTTCCAGCCCTGAGAAGGCAGACCACAGTAACTCACAAGATGAGGGAAACTGGATCCTCCTCTCTGCTTGGAATAGGAGGACCCACTCCCTTTCCCCTAAAGTGGCTCAGAGCAATAGCTGAGAGCCTGTGGGGTAAGAAAGACAAGAGAGGATGGTGTGCAGGTAACAGTTTGAACAGTTTGAAGCCAGCAAGTTACAGCCACCGGTCCAGCCAAGGACTCACGCCACTGGTTCGAAACCAGTGTCAGGAGAAAAAGGCAAAAGGTGTTAGCAACTGGAGGCTACTTGTTGAGAGGCACCAAGGCAGCCGTCTGCCGCCTAGATGAGCTCTCCAAGTAGGTTTGCTACCTGCCAGGCGTCTGCGTTCATGAAAAGAATTGAAGAAGGAGGCCGTGGGGTCTGATAAAGACAGCTACTATCAACCCTTCTCCTTCAAGGCGGGTCACATGAGACTGCAACAAGGAGATGACAAAATCTGAAGGGAGATGGGTAGTGTTCTCCTCGACCACCATGCTGGGCAACCATGACCCAGGAAGAAGGAGGCAAACCCGGCAGGTGAATGGCTGGTGGTGTGATACAGCCACAGAATCATTAGGGACAGATAAGACCTCTCAGGTCATCAAATCCAACCATCAGCACATCCCCACCATGCCCACTAATCATATCCCTCAGTGCCACATCCACGTGTTCACTGAGCACCTCCCGGGACGGTGAGTGCACCACCTCCCTGTGCTGCCAGTTCCAACGCCTCTCTGCTCTTTCTGGGAAGAAATTCTTCCTAATATCCATGATGTCTTGCTCAGGGTTATGGGTACTGTGTTCCTGGATACAACTTCGAGATACCAGGCATATTGAGGTTGGATGAAATGCAGCTGACCAGGAGGGGCAAGAATTCTGGGCAGCATGCTGGCTGGGCTGGTTATTGCAGCTTCACACTGGATATAGAGAGAGATGGGGGTGTATTTCCAAGTGACAGAGAAGAGCCTGGAAACACCGTCACTTTTGGAAACGGCCTAGAGAAAACTCAGATTTGTACTGGTGCAACTCTCCTCCAAGAAGGCAACAGGGCTGACAGCCCAACTGAAGCCTCAACACATGCAGCACGGTTAAGAAGTAGAAGGAGCTACAGTGCAGTCAAAAAACAGTGACCTATCACAGCAGTGCGGTGAGACGAACCACCACACTGGGGTGCTACAACGGAGCGCCACAAGGCTTTTGGAAGAAAGAAGGCAGGGAAGAAGAGGCTGGGGAGCTGCCCTCAGTGTGAACTGGGTGTTAGCTGTTGTGGTTTCGTGATTTTTTGCGGTCAGTATTCCACATCTGAACATCATGGGGACCAGTGGGAGTTAACGCGTGAATGTGCTGGTTCCCTTTACTGTCTTTTGCGGACTCTTTGAGTATCGCCATGGGAGGGGAGGGGGCGGCATCCCCGGAGGACCTGGCGGGCACAGGAGTGCGGTGGAGCTGCGGACGGGACCCGGAGCGGCTGCCTCTCTCCTTCTGGCCCGGCTCAGCCGGCTCAGCTCGCCGCGGAGAAAGCGCGTGCTTTCCTCGCACTGTCGTGGTTTGACTCTCATTTTTTGATACTCTCGTCTCTCTCGTTTTCTTTTAGTTCGATTCAGAAAATTACCCTTCCTCCTCAGATCGTTGCCGTCGTGTTTTCTCTTTGTTAACACTGCCCGCCAGCTCTCTGCCCTTCCCCCTCTCCGGGACGCGCGTGGCCCGGGGCCGGCCGGGTGGCGGCAAACCGTTCGTAACCGTTTTTTTTTCCTCTTCTTCCCGGGGCTGTGCCCTTGTCACGGACTTATATCTAAGGATAGCCCGTGACATTAACCAATGGGAATTGTGCAGGGCTGCCTCTGAAAAACAGCCGCGATCGTGTTGAGAGCTGACGGGTGCTCTGAGCCGTGGGCCGTGGCCCACACGGCCCAGCACAGCTCGCAGGGCAGCCGTCCCTGCCCGGCGCCTTCACAGCAGTGGCCCTATCTTAGCAGAGAGAAACACCACGCCGTATTCGTGTCACCGCTTTTAGGCCACACGCACAGTTGTGAGCACCCATTCTCAAGGAGGAAGCACAGGAGAAACGTATCCGAAATCTCTGACAAACACCTTGAGACCTCACTGAGTATGGCAGCTGCTTCCATCTGACAGACTGAGGTGTTTCACAGAAACGCCAGATGGTTTTGGTGCTGCCCTTTCTGTGTTTTAAGAAAAGCAACGCCTCCTATTTTGTTACGTCAGCCCATGGCGCCAGAGGCAGATGCTGGAGGTAGGGCAGAAGGGGCTGACATCCACCCACATGGTGTGAAGATGTGCTCCCACACTCCTTCTCCCCCACAAATGGTTCATTCACCAGCTTCCTAGCTTTAGCCTTATTGATCTGGCTTAATGTAGCATGGAAGCGATAAGAAAGTCTTTCAGCCACCCTGCCTTCTAGAGGAGCTCTGCAAGTCGTTGTGAAGAAAAACAAAATAAAGCAGGTTAACTTCTGTATCTGGAGACAGTCAAGTAGCTTTTGAAGCTGTCCCACTCTCTACCGTCTCTTCATCCAGAGAGCCAGAGCTCTCAGCACTGCTGGTCTGCAGGGCACCCTCTAGGACCAAGACGTTCACAGTAGGCCCTTGATACTTCCTCTTCTGGCCTGCCCAATATAGACCTCAGCAAGCACCTCATGGTTTTTTTAGGCTCTGTCAGCTTCGCTAAGAGTTTAGCTTAGGTTGACTGTGCTCCTGTGATCCTGCAGACACAAACCGTTGATCGGCCCCGCAAGTAGGAGTGAATTCAGCTGGACCTAGAGGCTTAGAAAGCAGCCTTGTGACTCAACGGGGGTGTTAAATCACATGATACCTACGCTGCATGAATAATACAGATGATGTTTATTCTGTATTAGTAAATAGATGTTAATACATAGATGTAGATGTAAAGACAAAAGCTTCCCTACTGCGAGTGAAGATGATGGTGCACTGGTGTCCTTCAGTAACAGCACGGTGAAGCAAGAAGGCTGGCTGTCTTTCAGGGAAGCCAGAGGAGCCAGCAAGGAGCACACAAAGGGGTGTGCAGGGCCTCAGGGCTGGAGCTGGGGGCAGCCCTGAACTCAGCCAGAGTAGCACAGCCAGACAGCTCTTAGGGAGTGCAGCTTCCTCTCCCACACACTTCTGAGCCGGTAACAAAGAGCTTGCTGGGTGCTGATTACAGGCGTTGTTCTCAGGAGCTGGATGGTTTCAGCCAGCAGGATGGAAATGGAAGGGCTGCTGGTGCTCTCCAAACTTCTCAGGGCTGATGTGGAAGAGAACAGAGTGGAAATCAGAGCCCTCGTCTGTGCAAAGCAAGCCAGGAAATTCTCCTGTGTAGCCACCCCACCCAGCTCTTCCCAGGGCCAGAATGGAGCAGGGATACAGCGGGGTCAGCTGCAGAGGGGCTGGCAGCAAACGCTCGCTGCTTTGCCCGCACTGCCCCTTGTCCGCAGAGGTTGCAGAGCGCTCCTGGGTCGGGACCAGGATTGCAGCTCGCCGCCCAGTGTCTTTTCTTCTCCCTGCCACACTGCTTTGACCCCCACGCTGCTCTCACTCACCCTCAATGGTGGTGTTCAGCTTCTCCTCACGTCCATTTCTCAGGTGTCTCCCGGCAAGCCCTAGACACACACAGCCCGTCAGAAATCCCACCAGGATGGGAGGGATGGGAGGTGGCCAGCCCACCTCTCCAGCACAGTTCCCCCAGCATCCTTGCTGGCCTGGCCACGCACCCGCGACTGCAGCACCCTGAGAGGCACCAAGGCACCCAGCAAGGCTCCCACCGCCACCCGCTGCACAGGCAGGGCTGCGGGAGGGCAGCAGGGAGCCCCTCGAGAACCCAGCCCCCGCCTTGGGCCAGCACAGCTCCGCGGGCACATGGCTCAGCCAGCAGCAGCACATGCTGGGGTCGAGCTGCTGCGGGGCGCAGAAGGGTCGGGGTTCGTGGCTCACCAATGAACCTGATGGCCGCCTCTTGCAGTGGTTCCTGGGGGCTGCATAGGTAGGACAGGCTCTGCTCCAGGAACTGATCTGCTCTGCTGCTGTGGCCCACCAGCTGGAAGACAGCACACATGGATGGGGCTGGCGCATTCTCTTCCCCTCGGGCAGGCAAGGGCCATGCATAGCATGGGCCTCCGCGAGGGAAAGGAGGCCGGAGAAGAGCCCAAGCTGCCGGGCACTTGAGGGGAAGGGGTATATGAACGGCAGCAGGCTGTGCCCTTCAGCATGAAGCTGTGGTAGAGGCATGGGCACTGGCCCCACACCCTGGGCCAGGCCTGGCAGGCCTCATCTGGGCCAGATCTCAGGAGCTCTGGGGCACTTGTCCTTACCAGGCACTCGCCGATCCTCTGCAGCTGCGCTGTCTTCAGCAGATAGCTGAGGTGCCTGTGCTTCAGCAGCTTGGCGGCACAAAGAAGGGCTTCCCAGGAGGCCTGCAGAGGAACAGAGACCAGGAGATGCCTTCAGTGCCTGCCAAACAGGGCTGGTGTGTCCTGCACCTTGCCACAGCTTGGGGCTTTATTGGGCTCTGGTGAGAAGGAAGATGCAGCAGCTGGGGAAAGGTATCTGTTCTGTGCTCAGGCAGGGGCATGGGCCAACCACCATCTCTGGCACTGGGTGCTGCCAATGCCCAGGCCATCCTGAGGGCTGTCAGCACCTGCTTCCTCCAGTGACCGTGCAGTTTAGAAATGCCCACCTGAGCCACGCTCTGGTCCTCGTCATGCAGGTGGAAGAAGAGAGGCACGAGGATGTTGTGCACTTCCTCCTTAATCTCCACTGTGTGGGTGTCCCCTGCAACCTCCATGGCATCCTTACAGAGAAGGATGGAGCGCTGCCTCGTCTGGGCGGACTCCTGGTGACACAGAACAAGAGACACAGAACTGAGTCCTGCCTTCTCCAAGCCTCCAAGCCAAGGTCGAGCAAGGGCGTGGGCTGGCCAACAGGGACCCAAACGTTTGTGACTCTCCCGCTCACAGCAGGGAGCTGCAAAAAGCCAGCTGTGCAAGCAGCACCATTGCGCAGCTGTACACCACTGTCAAAGCTGTGCATCTGCAGGGCTCCGCACGGGAGGGGCTGCCCCAGCACGACAGCCTGAGAAGCACCAAGCAAAAGATTTCCTGCACACAGCCAGGCACTGTGGTGGGAAGAGGAGAATTCGTAGGCCAGTCCAGTTAGGCACACACCACGCGCTCATACGCCCCGCAGCCATACTTCCAAGCCTCCCACTCCCCCACTGGCCTTACGTTAAAGAAGAAGGGCAGCAGGAGCTCAGGCAGCTGCAGGGCAGTGGGCACCACCTTCTCTCTGTCTGCCAGGTGCAGCATGTTGTGGAGGACAGTCACAGACTTCACACCGATGATGCTGTGGGCATCTTGCAGTTGCTCTGTGATCTCTGGCAGCAGGTCTTGCAGAGTTACTGCCTGTGGCAAACACAGCATTTCTTCTTCAGAAACCTCAAGCACCACCCCAGCAGAACACCTCTGCTTACAGACCGCACAGCCCAGGGCAGAGACCTGTTTGGGGCTGGATCTGAGCACACAGTGTCCCGTGGGATGGAATGGGATGGGATGGGATGGGATGGGATGGGATGGGATGGGATGGGATGGGATGGGATGGGATGGGATGGGATGGGATGGAATGGAGGGCTGCTGCCTTTGGCTTCCAAAGCAACCATTGGTATCAGTGCAGCCCTCAATGGCTGATGAAAAAGGCAGTGGGGCAGTAGCGCAGCTGACAACTCTCAGTATTACGGACAAAGTCCAGGCAAGCCTATGTGGGCACCGCCGCCTGGGGCTGGGCTGCAGGCCCTCTTTGCCATCCCTTTGTCTCAGTGCCACCCACTCACCATCTCGGGTATCGCAGACAGCCTGACCAGGCTGGTGGTAGCCAAGTCACGCAGCAATGAGTACTGACTCTTCAGGTGTGACTGGAGCAGGCTCTGGATGCTGTAGCCATTGACGTACGCCACGATGTCAGTGACCTTAACGCACTTCAGCAGCTGAAACACACCCAGCAGTACCATGAGAGGCCGTCCCCGTCGGCAGGATCCATGTGATGAACTGCCGCCCCCCCTCAAGGCCCAGGGCAGGAGGCCAAGGGCCAGCCACAGTTCTGTCTCGTGGCAGCACAGCAGCTCCCTTCCTGCTGCTCCTGCCCTCACAGCCATGTGCAGCCTCTCGCTCTCAGGAGCTGCACCAAATGCATGTTCTTCCACCCTTTTCCTCAGCCTCGAGGGGAAAAGGCCTTGGGGCAGGGCTGTCCCCAGCGGTGAGAGCGGCCCTGCTCTGTGGACATGCAACCTGACCCTCCCCACTCTGCCACACAGACTAAGGCAGAGGCACCTCCAGGAGGCACCGCTCGCCTCTAGGCCCACCTCAGCAAACACAGCCATGGTCCCGATCTCCTTGTGCTCCTGTCTTTGCGCGAGAGCTGTGACTGTTTCTTCAAACACCATGGGACAGCAGAGCGGTACTGTGCTTCGCAGCGCCCTGGTCAGGGAACGAACACAGAGATGCACTCAGTTTGCTGAGAAGCCTATCTTACGAACAACTTGTGGTCTTCCCACAGGTGCCCGCTGCTGGCCACCTCAGCTTCCCAAGTCCCTGGGCTCTTCGTTGGCTCGAAGGCCACCCTTCTGGCTGCTCTGCCACACATCTCCGGCACAGGCCGCGGCACTGCATGCAGAGCCAGCCCCGGCAATAGCCGCAGCCAGCAGTGCGCAGGGAAAGGGTGCTCTGGGAGGTGACAGGCCCTGCAAGTCCTTTCTCACCAGGCAACAGCAGCCCCTCTCCAGGGGAAAAGAGCTGGGGAGACAGGGACAAGTGGGGAGGCTCTCACCTGGTCAGCACAGCCACGCCTGTGTGGTAGGTGTCAAGGCTCATAAGCATGTCCCAGCCACCCTGCTGCTCTATGTCCTCCACCAGACCGTCACTCTTCAGGTGTTGGAAAAGAGCTCTCATGCTCTCCACCGCATGCCTGCGGACACAGCAAAGCGTGCGTCACACTGGAAGCCCTGGCTCTGAGCCTGGGGCAGAGACCCGGCAGCGGGGATGGAGCACCTGATGATGTTCACAGGCGACATGTCCTCATCATCGGTGATCGCACTGAAGCAGCCATGCTGTGTGCACTGCAGCAGGAAGGAGATCTGGAAGAGCATCCCTACGTACAGCTTGTGGATCAGCTGCCAAGCAGAGCCTTTAGTGGAGGGCAGATGGAGGATCGCGTGCAGGGCATGACTTATCTGCAGGAAGCACCCAAGGATGGCCCTCAGGGTACAGCTGCCCCTGCCATGCTGCCCAAGCCCATGGGGTGACATGCTGGGGTTCGAGGGGCAAGGAAAGAGAGGACAAAGGGCTGCGGAGGGGCTGCAGGGGGGAGGTGGGAAGAGACAGTAAGGAAGGGAAAGGGAGTGGAGAAGAGAGGAGGCGTGGGGAATGCAGCCCTGCCAGGGGTGAGCGAGGTGTCATCCAGAAACTCACTGCCAGGTAACCGGTGCAATTGTGGCCCGGGCCAAGGCCATCGTGCCTGGGCTTTGGCCATTTCTGCAGCAGGGACTCCAGCACGACCTCTGCAAGGCTGGGTTCGGAGACCATCGTCTGCCACATGATTGCAGAAGACCTGCAGAGACAAAGCACGCTGTGTCAGGGACTGCCCCAGCCACCATCCCTTGGCCTGTGCTGGCCCCAAGGGTCTTGAGCCATCCATGAGGTGTGCGGGCCCCGCAAGTGTCGCACCATGGGATGTCACGCAGCACGAAGCTGACCACACACTGTGGGTTCAAGCGTGTCATCTGCTGAAGGGTCCGGATCGCAATGTCCCGGAGCGACTCCTCACAGTCCGACATGAGGTGGTCGTAGATGCTCTGCACGATCAGTGGCACCTGGAGGAGACAAAAGGGCACTGAGATGGAGCAAAGCCACAGCCCCAGCTGCCAGGGGGTAATGCTGCTTCCTCCTGTGGCGCTTCACTGGTCTGAAAAGCCAGCCAAGCTCTCAGGCTGCACTCTCAGGTCAGGGGAAGCCCCGCAGAGGGCAAAAGCACAGGGCAATCTGGCTGAGAAGTGCTTACGTTCGAGAGCTGAGGGTCCGCATCTTTCAGGACCGCATCCAACGTCCTGGCAACCACATCGGTGTCAGAGACCCTTGGCTGCGTTATGCCCTGCAGGATGGTTAGGATGAAGTCTCCCATCTCGCTGGGGCAGAGCCAGCTGCCCACTACCTGTGGGAAGGAGGAAGGGAGATAAGGCCAGATGCAGTGTGTTTAATGGTGATGGGACACATGTGAGCAGCAGCGAGGGTGGCTCTGGAGAGGGGGAGAGATCCAGGGCAGCACTGGCGCTGTAACCCAGGGGAGCCCAGCGCTGAGCTGACTGCAGCCTCAGCGGGTGCAGAGAGGGAGCTGTTGTGCAGAGCCATGGCTGGGCTGGAGTCAGGGTCACAGAGCGCTGGCTCTGCAAGCAGCGGGGGCTCACCGATAGCCAGAACAGCTGCAATCACAGCTCTGACACTGAGAGAAAGTCTTTGGCTACTCCCAGCTGAGACACGGCTGGACCCTGCAGCCAGATTGTTGAGAGGCTGAGACAGCCCCTGCCTCGTGCCCACACTAACTGGCCCGTTGGCTCACATGAGCCTCCTGCCACGGGGAGTCTAGCATCCCAGCAAGGGACGAGCTGCTTACCAGTGTATTCAGAGCAGCATACTGGGCACAGAAAAAGTCCCAGCATTCACCATCCGCATACGATTGGAGATTGGCATGTCCAAACTTGTAACCTGGGCAGAAGGAGTAAGAGAGTGAGTGGTAGGACTGATGGGGAGAAGGCAAGAAGAGCACCTCTCAGGCTGCAGAGAGGCAGGAGAGCTAGGTCCAGCTTTCTGCCCTGAAGGAGGAGAGCAGCCCTGCCATGCCGCTGCTATAGACTCGCCAAGACAAGGAGGGCGGCCAAAGAGGTGCGCTGCCTCGCCTGGAAGTTATTGTGTGGAGCACCGCAGCCCATCCCAGCCTCTCTTACTCTCTCGCATTGCCAGGATCCTGTGGATGCCATGCAGAGCCTCCATAGAATCACGCCTGATGTCCTGGTCCTCCTCGGCACAGCCCAGGATGAGGTGCCCCAACAGCTTCCCCACGAGCATCTTGGACTGGTTTTGTATGGAGCGATCGCCGTCCCAGCTTTCACTGTATTGAGTCGAGCTCTGAGGAACAAAGGAAAGGCAGAGTTGCTGGGCTGAACTGGTGCGCCTGGGACAAAAGCCCTGTCCCCCCAGAGCCAGCAGCGGGTTGAGCACTACAGGAGTTGAGCACCAGCGCTTTGGCCAGCTCTGCCCTGGGCCACGCAGGGGCTGACCCGTGGCAGACCCACATCTAGGTGAGGAGCACACGGACTGTCTTTGGTGAGAACTGTTGAAGGGTTTTGAGTGGCTGCTGGATTTTGGTGTGTAGAGGACTCTGTCCCAGACCTGCTGGTCTTGCAGGGAGCCCAGAGCTACCAGCTTACTGGGGCACCAGGAAGGGGCAAGAAGGGGGTTAAACGCTGCCCGTCTCTCCGGCTTCTTACCGCTATCAGAGAAGCAGGGACTAGGACTTTGCTCAGGTTGGCAATCCTCCCCATGGCACACCGGCGCACTCTCAGCCACTCAGATTCGGCGCAGGGCAGCAGGGCCTGAGAAGACAAAAGCTGTTGGTCAACCACAGATGCGATGGCAGCTCCTGAAGCGGCCGCTGTGCCGGGCAACTGGCGGGGCACTGACAAGGTGCCCAGGCTTCCCCTGAACAGGAGAAGAGCCTGGAATGGAGGCCCGGCCTCCTGGCAGCCTCAGGAATGGCTGCCCCAGCGGAGACCTGCTGCGGTCACCAATCATTATCCCCACCCTCAGCTCCTACAAAATGGCTCTGCCCCTTTTCCAAGAGGGAAGGGCTTTGGGGCTGGCATGCTGCTGGGTGCCCTCAGCGGCCAGAAGAAGAGCGTTTCAAGGCTGAGCTCCCTTCGCATGGTGGCCACATCCCAGCAGACCTCGGCCTTGCTGACATCTGGCACAAAGAGTATCCCCGAGGCAGGTAAAGGAGGGCAGTGGGTCAGCGGTGCCAGCCGCCGCTGCGGGGTCTGGGAAGGGCACTCAGCAGCCTTCCGCTGCTCAGGTGCAAACCACTGGACTTCAGGTGGTTGCGTCCCCACCCCATTGCCCGCTTTCTGTGCCTCTTTCTGGGACACGGTGCCCACCCCAGAGCATCCCTTCTCTCTGGAGGAAGGAAGAGCCCCTGTGAGCCTTGCTCTCTGCACGTGCCAGACCTGCAAGACGATCACCAGGTTGAGGGTGGCGGAGTGTGGCGGAAGACGCAGCAGCACATGCAGCACGCTGTCCAGAGCTTGCAGCATCTGCAAGAAGAACAGAGCAGGTGTGCACTTTTGCTTGCCCTTTTTTTGCAG